GACGGGGGGGGGGGGGGGGGGGGCGTACTCATTTGTTGCTTGCCGTAGTCATTTGACCATTGACCACGCGTCCCTTTCGAGACGGAGCACCGTTCCTACACCTACTAGAGACACCACCAACATTTGGGAGCTCTTTACGTTTCTGCCACAAACTCCATAAAAATTTCTTGCACATCTTATCCCCGTCCTCTAGGGCCTCTTGTGCCCACCATCTATCCCCAATTATCGCGATCGTTTTTTCGCTGTTGTCTAATTTACCAAACTTGTCCATGTCACACCCTCTCTGTCTCATTTCCTCCTCGAGATCCTCTCTTTCCTTCCTGTACAACTCACACTCCCCAACTATGTGGGGTCTACTCTCCTCCGATTTGCCACATGGACATGTGTGTCTATCCTCCTCTTCCTCTCTCCTACGGCTGGTATACCTCTTCCTCCGTTCTGGCAAGTCCAGATCGCCTACTCGAAATTGCAATTTCAGCTTTTCCGCATAGTCCATGGGGCCGTCCAAGTACGTCTTCATCCCTATCCCTTCTTTCAACTTCCCGTATATCTCCAAGTGGTCTTCGCTTCGTACCTTCTTCCGAAGGGTTGCCTCCTCCCTACTCTCTAGCATCTCCTTGACTTTCGTCTTGAACCCCCCGAACCCTTCCGTGTCCAACGTCTCCTCCTCGTCTCCTATCTCCTTCCAAACCTTCTGTACCACCTTGTCCCATCTGATTCCCTTCTTCTCTGGAGTCGCTTTTCCCCAAGCTGCCTTGTCAACCATGGCTGGTAGTCTATCGTCCGACAATCTACTTACCTTGGTTGGGGGGGGGGGGGGGCGTACTCTAATGTTTTGCATTCGTTAGCGGTTTGACCATTGACCACGCGTCCTCGCGAGGACGAAGCATTGTTCCCATAGGACCGATCACCGATGGCCAACCGTTCCTTTCTACTTTGCAAAAGGTGGCTCAGAAATGTCTTCCCTGGTCCATCTGTCCTGTAGGTCTCATTTTCCCGCCTTTTCCACCTTTTCAACTTCCTTTGCCCCTGTACAGCTACCATCTTATCCTGGCTATTCCATGCCTCAAACATTTTCCTGTTATCTTCCTTCTACCTTTCCCAGCTCAGTCATGAACACTTCCCTCTCCTTCTTGTACAAAGGACATTCCTACGTGAACCCGGTCTCCGCACTCGGAGGCGCATTTTCATTTGAACTTGCCGGCTTCATCGGCTACCTTCCTATATATTCGTCTACGTTCTCGAAGGCCAATAGTGCCCGTCCTGAATTTTTCTTCAGCTGTCCCTGCACCGATTGGTCCATGCAGGTACTCCTTGAACTCCGTCCCTTCTTTCAACATTCCGTACACATCTATACCCTCTTTATCCTTGGGTTCTTTGGTTAGATTCTGGTCTTCTCTCTCGGCAAAAGCAACGGATATCTTCTCCTTGAAACCCTCTACACCTTCCGTTTCCAGCATTTCACCTTCGTCAATTTCGAACTCGTTCCATACGTCATCTACAACCTTGACCCACTCCTTGGGTTATCTGCCCGTCTTCTTGTTTGTCCACTTCGGGCGGGGGAGGGGGTAGTGACGAGGATTATGGCAGACTGCAAGATTTTTGCATGACGCACTCGCAATGTAATATTCCTCGAAAAACAAAACTTCCCCTTCATATTCATGTACGAGGGTTACGTGGCCATATTATTTCAACCTATGTTGGTCCTGGCTTCTTCTCTGGGGGCAAGCTAATCCATCGCCCGAGCAAGTGCGTCCACGCAGGATGGCACAGCGAGCGTTGTAGACAGAAAATACATACAAGGCCTGGGATTCTAAGGATTGTCGGTGTGGACCCAAAAACTATGCCGATACATCGGTGCGAATCTCTTTTCTTGTCGACTAGCGTGCCTGCAGCGTGAAACGCTCTGTCATGAAATGATGAACCTGTCCGCTAGGTGTCTTTGAGGCCTTGTTCTCAAAAATCGCCTTGGTCTGTTTTATTGGTGTTCTTGTTTTTTATCTCATCGCCTCCACCTGCCGACCCCACGTTCATACAACATGTTTTGTCCCGAATGTTGTTTTGCCGCCGCGCTAAACTTGTTTTCCTCGCCCATCTCTTCATCCCATCTGCCGACACCCCCATGAACCTCAGGCTCTGAACTCTGACACGATGTCCTCTGAACGCGCCATCTGCTGCCGTTGCTGCTGCCTTGGGCTGTCTTGGGCGCGTGTCTACCGCAACGACAACATCACAAACGCCCCCAACCCATCAATTTTTGGCGGCGTCCATCTGTATCATATGATTTCGAGAAAAGCTTTGTCAATGGCGAGACATCGAGTGACGCGGGCGCCAACGAGGGAAGCTGTAAGGTGTTTGCCTTTGGCAAGATCGTCGGCCTTTCTCCGGAAGATACCCTGGCCTGCTTCGGCGAGCACTATCGGGGCGTGCTGGCCGACCCGGACGGCGAAAGCCACGGCAACATCAGGGCCTTTGTGGCGAGCGGGTGGGGCGGGGTCGATTTCCCTGACGGTTTACCTCTGTCCCACAAATAGGTGCCAAGTGGAAGATGGTACATATTAAAATAATGATTTCTCGTTTCCTATGTACGTTAGGGTTAGGGTTAGTGACGCCGGCAGATGTTGGGAGTGTCCCGGCAATATCGGAACCTTCGTTTGCAGTGAGATGGGCCCAAGTCGATTTCCCTACAACTCGTAGGTCGATTTAGAATATCAAAGTAATGTGTTAGATACATACGTCGACGTTGGGTTGATGGCGTTGTTTGACTTGAAAAACAACCCGCATTAACGTTTCGTTGGGGCTGTTGCTGAGCGGTCTTTCGTGACTCCGTCCGTGGGGTGTTCCTTCCAAGCGCGAACCACCATCAGGCCGATCGATCGGTGAATTCCGGTAGGTCGGCTGCGGCTAGATGGACTTCGGGGTTGTTGTTGCTTGACGTTTAGTATTTTACGAAGGAGCAGGGAATTTTAAGGTTGCCTGAAGATGGCTGATCTCTCCTGTTATTCTGCTTTCTTTAGCGTTTTTTTTTTCGTGTCTAGAGAAATATACGAGAGCACGTCCGCAGTGGATTGGCCATCAGTTTCAGGCACGAAGATGCCCCCGTGCCTACGTGCGACAGCGTCGTTACCGTGCGAGCGCTTGCACCCGCACACCCCATGGCGTGATACGCCCATCCGTCCTCTTTTGTCTGAGATATTGTGGCGTCCAAGCGGGCTCGTTAGTCGCTCGCGGGAGGATGTCCCGCGGGGGCATGATTTATGGCTCCATCTTCAGGAACTTGGCAAATTTGTTGGTGAACCGTTCGATTCTCAAATGTCTGAGTTGTCGTCGTTCTTGCGTTTTTTTGCTCATGCATGATGTGCGGGCTGTGGTTCGTTTCGTGAAGAGCTGCGAGTCTTCCCGCCTCCCGTGAGGGCGCGGAGGGGGGGGGGTGCTCAGACCCCCGTTGATACTCCCAGCCTGTTCGCGTTTGTGAAGAAGGCGGTCTGCTTCGAATCCCCTTGGCGTGCTCTTCTCAGTGAAAATAGGTCTACTGTAACTTACCACCGGAAGAGGGAGCTCGTGACTGCTGTAATGATGCAGTTGTTGGTATCCTCAACGGTGCCGAAGCTACTGCTTGCTGTACTCGGAGGAAACGGTTACCAAAACAAATGTGATCGACCACTTCTTGCGACAACCTGTTGTTGCCGCGTGGTGTAGCCGTCTCTTGAAGTGAAGAATTCCAATCTAGGGTCACTTGGATGAGCTTCCTCTGCGGCATGCCATGTAAACAGCGGCTGCAGCCGACATCCGCTGTTGTACTGCAAGTAGTACACCCAAACTCTGCTGTGGGTTTGTCCAAGTTTTTCTGCCTTGTTGCTCCGGAAGTGCATTTATCACTATTTTCTCGTGACTCGTCGAAATAGGGTTTGTAAGACGGCGTGGGCCGCAAACGCAGGTACATGCACGGGTGCGCGGTGCGCGACGCGCCCGTTATCCAGCCACCCTCTGACTCACTTCATTCCATCCCGGCACAAGCGGCTACGCTTTTTGTAGCATAATCCGAAGTGCTGGTAATAACCACCATCCATAATATGATTTTTTATTCCGTCAAGCGGAGGGACTTTCGCCACGCCTTTTCCATGTGACCCACGGATATTATTTTATTTCTTTACATCGGGTACGAAAGGTACCGCTGCCAGCTCGCTGACAGATGACTGGATCATTTTTTTTATTTGTGGAAGAGGATCTATCTAAAACGATGGCCAGTATCTGTTCGCTGGTGGCTGGCTCCTTCTCTGCAAACGAAAAAAAATTGAAGATATGTTTTTATTTTTTTTCATGTATTCGTTGGGCCGCAGTCATACCTGGTGATACCGCAGGCGGTACGCACAACTTGACAGTCAGCAGCGGAGACTAGGAGAAGGGAGAGAAGGTGGGAGACATAGAGAGAGCGAGAGAGATAGGCCTCTGCGATGCTGTATGTATTATTTCCTGGCGTTCAATCACGCAAGTTCCTTTCCTGGCGAACGTGAATGGGAAAAAAATCTGGAAATCTGTTGCATACCCATGGTACGTAACACAAAAGTTCCGGAGTACCAAAGAGATCTTCCAAACGGGTCCGGTGACACATCATTGATATATGCGCCACCGCCATCTCGCCCGCGTGCGCCTCGGACTCTCTCAGCGCTCTACAACTCGTCCCCTTTCTACACTGTACGCCCACAATACAGCTGTTGTCGTCAAAACTTGAACCTGCGGCTGGTTCCCACCACCTCTCTGCTGTCCTCCAGGTTCTCAAAAGCTCACCTGCTGTCACGTACCACAGATCGGACCAACAGGGAACGAACTAAAGAGGACACAAACACGGATACAAGTACAGAGATGGCCAATCCCTACACATCAGAGGTCCCTCTCCCGGCACTGCGAGAGCACTTCGCCACGGCCTTAGTCTCATATCCCAACATGACGGCGGGAAATGCCGCGATCGAGCAGGAGTGCGCGCTGGATCCAGCGATGGCGGAGCTTCGGCAGCACCTACTCCGGCATCGCATCACCTTCTGCGTCTTTGACAGTGAGTTACGCTGTAGTTTGCAGTCACACAACTTAGCGGCACGCTCTTCGCCATACCACCCTGTTGTCTCTGGTTGTGCTGGTCTAGCAGCAGCAGTCGTACGGCAAGGACCTTGTGCCGTAAATAACTGTCATTTGTAGGAGAGCTTTGTGAGACGCCCGTGCACAACAACGAAAACCCATGCGTCGTCTCCACACAAAAATGGAGAGAGCCGCATCCTCTCTGTCGCAGATAATCAATCGCCCGAAACTTCCTCCGTGCGTGCCTTTCGCTGCCGCACATGCGTGCTGCTTGCCCCACCGAAGTGGATTTGACCGTAACCAAAATGCACACGAGAGGGGCCTTGCCTCGTGATCCGGACACCATGAGGTCCTACCTCGAATCCGGGCGTGCGACGGATGCCGTCAAGGTGAGCAAAAATCTGTCTTTCGGCTGCTGAACTGGTCTGGTTTGTTGAGCACACGGGAGGTTGCATCACCATGGTATGCATAATAAGGGGGGAGGTTGCACACAACGCAGGTAGCGGCGGCCTTGTTGTCGGGGAATAAGTAGTCCGGGCGGCCGCAGTGACAGGTGCTATGCGGCTGCATGCGGCCGCGGCCGCAATCGCCCAGCACGAGGAGGGTGCCGAGAAGAGGTCGTTTCGATTCCGCCTCCCTCGCATCTATCTGTTGAATCGGCTCTAACCAGCTCACCAGTCCCTCGATCGATCAACCTTCTGACAGTTCGCGAATTGGCAACTTCGAAAAGTTAAGTTTCCACAGACACACACACAATGGTGTTACGTATGCCACACCACCACCAGATGTTGTCGGAGTTTTACAGCAGCAAAGTACCATCTACTCACACCTGCTGTCGCTTAACGGAGTCTGCCTGCCACGCCCGTGCCACTTGGGCCACGCGGTGCTGTTCTTTTTTTGTACTCATGTGATATCCACGAAGGTCGGACAAATATGATTTGCCAACCTCACATGGGAGCCAGCTTGTTTCAAATTCTGGGGGTCGTGTGTCTCTGCCAGCCACACCGCGCCACACCTGTGGGAGAGAAATTTTCAGCGCCGAAGAGCCCGAATACGTTTTGGGTGGACGAAAAACACTACTGCAACCTATATTGGACGTGTCTTTCATGAAATACCCTTCCAGTTTTGCTATTTAACCAACCACCATTTTCCCCACAGTGCGGGGCTGCTGACTGGTTGTGTATACATATCTAATGGTAGTACGATACGATACATGCGGCGGAACAACTGCTGTGTATAATGATGTGGAACACATCTGTTCCGCGTACAGCATCCGCTGTGTTTGATGGAATCAAATACTTAGGTATATCTCGAATGGGTAATCTTTCTGTGTATGTTTTTATTATTCCTTAATACGTAGATGCCGATGCAATTCAGATGGAGACGATTTGCCCCTGTCCCCAAGTCTTGCATAAATAGCCTTTTCTGTAGGCGACCGAGTTTCTGTCTTTGGAACATCATGCTCCTGGTGTTGGAAGTTCATCAACAATCTGGCGCCCTTTAGCTGGCAAGTTGCCTTCTCTCCATCCGTGCTTGGAACGGATGAGTTAACAAGCAGCGTCTCTGTCTGTTGAGTCGTTTTTAGTCCACTAGGGACTCGGCTCAAAAATTGTGGCCCGTATTTGGTCCAACTTGCCCGGCGCATCATGATTGAATCTACTGCTTCTACATGACAACACGTTACCCCCAAGTGTTTTGACAGCGACGACAACAGTGATATCTGCAAGGGATGTCGGCGTTCTGAATTTTCGCAGTGGTGTGGGTGGAAAAAATATAAGACTGTAGCGTGCTGAGTTACTTGTTTGTCGTGTTCAAACAACAAGAGGCGGGCGGCCCGATATTTACTTGCAGAACATGTGGGTGAGGGTTGGCCCGGCCGTGTTCGACGTGGTTGTAGTCGTATGCATTTACGCGTCCTCATAAACGGCTCGGAGCTCGGAGATTGGTGAACCAGTTCACTCTTTTCCCTAGCGTCGAAAACAAAACCTTGCTCGTAACCTTTCCTCATCACAACGAACAGCATGTACGCAGCCAGAGCATCATCCGCCCTCGCGGCATTCAACCCCGCTGCTGCCGATCTAAAACCTTCCTCTTTCGTGTGGAGGGTCATCCTTTTCCCTAAAATTTTAGGCGCATATGCATCGATACGCGCACACCTCCCGTCATTGTGTGTGTTCCTGTCGTTCATCGCTTCTTGTTGTAGCATACTTGTTGTTTCCCTGCTACCGTACCTGGTACATAGCGAGCATGGCGTTCATGCACGAAGAACCCTTCGGTGTTTTTGGACGAAACCAGCCAGGACATCGCTTGCAGGAGAAAGGCTACACGCATTTTTTTCTTTCTCGCCCTCCCTGCCTCTGCAGTACTTGCTCTGTTTTTTGTCCGACGGGATAGCCCTCTCCCTCGTTGGCCTTTTAAGTCGAGGCTTGTGTAACGGCGAAGAAAGCTACATTTATTCTTTGGGTATCGTATGCGCAGGACGAAATCGCGGGTGGTGTGGCTGCTGTGAGTCGAACTCACGTCCACACACATGCTACGCCAGGAGGTAGTTGCGAGATAACCAACTATACTTGCTCTCAGCGGCAACGTTCTACTTGGCCTCTAACGTGTTGTCCCTCATAAATGTCCGGTTCGCGACGTCTCTTCTTGGTGACCACGGTTTTCCGAAGTACAAATGCACGTGTTTCGTCAGCAAAACGAACACCGTGAGCACAAGCTGTTCACGGCTTGACGCGATACGTCTCTTCGAAACAAGCGGCCGCCCACAACTCACAGCAAAGTCTAGGCCGTCACGTGCGGACGATTTTTCCCCTCGTTTTTCACCGCGCTTTCCCGTGCACCTTTACAGACCTTCGTATCAAGCGTCCCCTTGACTTTCGAGAAGGTGGTATGGCTTGCAAAATTTCTAAAATTTTTTGCAGCCTTTGTCTTTTTTCAATAATTTAGGACAGAGACCATCGTCGGGGTACGGTAAAGTGCGTGCCATTGCCACCGCGCCCCCCCTAGATTGGCTCTCGAGCGCAGGTTTCTCCACACAATTTTAGAGGGTGCGACGAACTTCCGACACGTGTAAGGAAGGCTGTGCAAGAGGGACCTTTCCGAAACCACCCTTTTCGTCATTGGCAGCCTCTTGGCTGCGGAAAGTCCGTCTCGGGAGTGTCCGAAGACAGGCACTTTTCGGAGAGGTCGGGGGCATGCGAGCGAGGACATCGGAGCCCCCGCCGTACGGTGCCCGAGCGCTCTTCCGGGTTCGGTTCTGACGCTCGGGCATACCGACGTTTTGTTGAGTTCGGGGCCGTCTTCCAGCCACAAATAACCTTCGAGAATCCGGGTTCAACAGACTACCGGCATTGTCCGAAGTCGAGGAGGACGTTTCCCCAAATCATAGTTTCGATTAATGTACCTGTCGCCCCCCAAGATCCACCGGTTTATTCCCCTTTCGGCCGAAAGCATTATGGGAGAAAAAAAAAAAAAATACCCCCACGTGACCATTCTCAACACTCTCCAAGGCTCGCGTCCCACACCCCTTGCGAAAGGTTCCCCACACCCCCACGGGGAAACTACCGCCCTCACCACCCATGGAAAATGCTTCCATGATATGGAACCCGCGCTCGGGGAAAACATCGTTGACGCGCACCGGATAACAGCGCGAAGGCGCAACTTGCTAGCTCCCACTTTCTTCAAACGGCCTATCCTACCGTAGCTTTCTCTTGGATTGTTCTATCCTCGGTGTTTTTGTGTTTTTCGATGCCATTCATTCAGAACAGTTTTTTTTCGCGGTGCGGACATTTTGTTTTTTTTCGAAACAAAGAACAAAAAAGTTCTTGCGGGTCACTTGACGTCATATGGCATTGTTTTGCAGTCCGTGTTCCTATTTTATATCATCGTTTGGCACGCAAGGACACCAACCCAACTTCGTTTGTAGTGTTTTTTGTTTTTTTGTGTGTCAGCTCTCTCGGCTTCCACGGGATACTACCAATAGCGTCACGCGCCCTCTTTTACCGGCGGGGGTCGCTTGTCTCCCGCAGGCGGCATGCGCCCGTGGTTGTCATTCCCCTGCCAACCATTGTTTAGCCGAGGGCACGGGTGGTTTTGCACCGAGGGTTGGCTCGGTCTTGTTGGTAATTTGGGCAGTGAGGAAGCGGCAGCAAGTTGCGCCCTTCCTTCGATCTTGTCCGGTGCTGGTCAGCGATGTTTTTCACCGAGCGTGAATTCCGCCTTTGTTCTCTCACGGCAAGCGAGGTCGCGGGGCTACTCGTCGCTTCCCGCGGGAATGTCGGGGGACTTTCACGTGTGACGTGGACGCGGGCGCCGGAGATGTTCCAAGGTGGCGGGTACATTTTCGCCCCCAAGCCGGGGTGACAACGGTGGACACTGGGGGCAAACAGATTAAGCGAATCAGCGTTGACGGAACTATACCCGCGACTTGCGGATACATGGCAGTGAGTCCGACCTGGATTCGCCGAGGGTCTGTTGAACCGGCGGGCCTGATTTGCGCTTCCGCTGCTGCGATTTCCTGCTAACTCATGATCTCCCCCATCTCCCGAATTTGTTTTCATCCTTTTCCCACTGCTGTGGGCCGTCTCCATCTCGCGCCCAGACGATGAAGCTGTGCCGAGCCCTGGGCCTCACCATCGGGATCGCGACGTTCCAGAGAGAGGTGGACGACTCGGCGCACATTGGCGGCTCGCACCTTGTCCGCCGCGTCCTTGGGGCGATCGGTGCCGGGGACCTGGTGAGCGACCGGGATGTGGTCGCCCTGACCTCCTCGCAGTACTCGGAGATGATCCGGCACCAGGAGAGCTACACCAAGAACGACATGATCCGCGTGCTGTTCGAGAGGCGGGGGGAGGCGTACTCCCCGGGGAACACCCTGCTGATCGACGACACCCGGCGGAACGTCGAGGCATTCGTTAGGATAGGCGGCCACGGGCTCCTCGTGGAGGGGGGGCAGGGGTTGATCCTGCGGAACGCGAAGGTTCGTTCACGCTGCTGGTGGTAGATAGGCCCGCTGTTTTTCGATTGGCTGCAACAAGCAGGCCATGAGTTGGGCGAGATTCCATTGTTCCGTTGTTGTGGCTTTGTGGTATGTCATGTCTGTGGTCTTATGTTGGCGTGAGCATAAAGAGAGGACGAGGACAACAACAGTGTTACAGCTCGCCGCAAATTTTCGTGTTTGTTGGATAAACCTGACGCCCTGTCGGTTTTTTTGGAACGACTCACATTGTCCCTCTCGCGCCTTTCCCACTGCCTCCCGGGCTCTTCATCGAATGTCGCTCCTTCGATTAGGACCCACGCTCCTCTGTTTGATTCTTATTCCTTGCTCCTCTGTTTGATTCTTACTCCTTCTCATATCGTCTTGAGGTAAGCGCTATGCTCGCTCTGAAGAGGCGCAACATATTGTCTCTATTCGTATATGAGCCTGCACGACACCATGACACCAAGATCGCTTCATATATATGGCATAATTTTACCCACACGTGCAGTTGGTACGCGCGGCTGAGGACAAATGAATCACAGCTACAAGGTGCGTTATTTTTCCCTTCCCGACTGGGTTCGCAAAACTGGTCGGTATGATTGACGCTGTTTTTTTTGTTGTTGTCCGGACACCGTGTGGGACAGGTGGTCGAGCCCAGCTGTACATTTGTGCCAGGGTTGACGTTTTCCTCGTCGGCACACCACTCCACAACAGCAACAACGTCGGCATCGGTGACCTCCCAGCACCATCACGATGAGGGTGGTACGTATCCGGATCACCGGCAGCAGCAGCAGCAGCATCAACACCAGCAGTACCCGCAGCAGCCTCCTCCAGCTGCAGGATATGGGTACGGGTACTACTGAAGTGATGGTGGTGGGTAGGAGGACGGGCAGGTCGCTGCCACGTGCGTGTTTCGATTTTCGGCGGAATTCGTTGTCCCGAAACATTTAGGCGACGCGCGCGAGGGGAGTTCTGCGAAGAGGGGCGGGATCTTGACTGACAGGTTGGTTCGGTCGCGACCCCGACACGTTGCGTCCGGGGTATGTGCGATGTTGATAGTGCCTGGGAAGGGGACTTGCGGTTTGAGAACGCCGACGGTGTTGGTGGCGTGCCAGGGGCGAGAGGAGGAGGAGGGAAGAGCCTTGCTTATCCACGCGGTTGGCGTGTAGCGAGCGGTTCACTTCCTTGGGCGGGCGATGAGAGGGGGGAGCGGAACTCCGTGGAGCGGGAGGCAGCAGGAAACGGAGCGTACCCTCGAACAGCGTTTGCCAGAGAGTAGCTCTCAAAAATTTCCATGTGTGTTGTTTCAAATAGCTTTAGTCGTGCTCTATACGATGCGCTGTTTCCGCCGAACGTGACCTCATATAGCATTACGTCTCTTTTCTCTACATGTCTCTACGGTGCATACCGTTCATGCGTTTCCCCCTCTGAATACCACTGTGTTGTTTTGAATTGCCTCTCGAAGATCGATCGCCTCACGACGATTGCCAAGGGCTAGGGGTTTTACGGTTTATTTATCCGTATGTTTTCCCTGGGAGAAGCGAGTGAACGCTGCTCGTTGGTCTGCATCACTTTTTTTGTTGTCGCCACAAGATTTCGAACGGGTTCGGCGTTGTCCTTGGCGCATGAAGTTGAATCGTAGTGAGCTTCAGCTTTTTAACCCGTACCCGACATGCGTGTCCGCGACGAGAAGTGTTTTCGCGCGGGCCCCTCCCAATCCCTGCGTTGCCACTGGTCTCACACCGCCTTTTGATACGCGGCTGGGATGTAGCCTTTTGATGAGCGTCAATGCCGATTGTTTTGTTCGACATCCCTGTGTTGGCCAGAGGCTAGGAGTTGAGGCGAAGGCAACGACCTTTACTCGGGATGGGGAGGCGCCGATTGGGGTGGCGGGGTGGGTGGGGGGACTTTCCTTTTGAGTTCTTTTACAACGGTGTGATTCACTCATTTGTTGTGCGTTGGTGTGGTCGACAGGAGCTCTTGGTCCCTGTTGAAGGGATTCTTCAACCACCGCGATTCCGATGTCTGCTGCAAGTAGACATCAAGGCGAATTTGTATTTTTCGGGGCCACAGCTTGACAGAACTGCTGTCTGCAGCTAGTGTATAGTGCATTTCTTTTGAGGGGTACGCGGAGTAGATGCTTTCGGCTTTCTTTGGCCTAACGAAACCGTGGGTTTGTGGCGTCCCTTGCGCGGAAGCCAGAGAACCTCCGTCGGTACCCCTTCCGGCTGATGATTGTGGGCTCTTGTCCATCAACCATGCCGGTAGCACCGAGTTTTTCAGGTGTGCTCTCTAGACAGGAGGAACAGTGGCCTTCCTGTATTCCCGCCTTTAGGTAGCCATTTGGAGACGTTTACGACGGTACGCCGGGTCGAATTTCACACCCGATTTTCACTCGGGTTTTGCCCCGTACGGCTTGTGTTGTGTGAGTTTTTCGTGTGTCCCCCTCTTCGTTCATATCTTGTAATTTTTGTTTCTCTGTTGCTTTCGTTACAATTACCGGCATGCTATGCCCAGGCTAGAGCATATTCGGCTGCCTCCGGGGGTCTAGGGAGTTTATTTTTTTTTGTTCCATACGACCGCATCTTGTGTCCGGCCGAGAGAAGCGTGGTCTGGCTTCATGGGGCTTCGGCCTGGTGGGTGTAGCCCGTGCGAGCAATTGTCTTTTCCCTCCAAGTGGGTGTATATCGTACAACCCCGGACTCCTAGCGCCCCGTACTCGAGTAGCATTGCGCTGTCTGACCTCCCTCGATCGTTGGAGAAAAGGGCCGTTTCGACCTCCGAAGCGGCAGGGCTAGCAGCCGCGGTTGCAACCAATCGCAAGGAGGGGGGATGAAGGTGGAGACCGCACGCAAGAAATGTTTGTAGACTTCAGCTGAAGGTATTTTTTTTTACAAGGGGTGATTCTGCGGGTTCGTTGTTGTGTCTTCTTGGTGTGATCGGGCGGCTTTTGCTTCGTTCTCTGCGTTGGTGTACTTATCCGTCTGAAAACGGTCGTGATTGTGTGGGGTGTGTGTGTATCTTGAAGTTTGCATCTGCAGCGCTACTCGGCTGACCAATGAATGGCCGCCTGTTTCTTTGCGGGAGCGCACACCTTTCGAGCCCACGGGCTCCTTCGACAGGTGGACCGCGCAGGAAATTGGGTGGGTGGTGCGTGCGTGCGTCCGAAAGAAAGCGCCCTCCGTGGTGTCGTTACGCTTCTTACTTTGTTTAGCAGGGATTGGTTTGCTCATGTCATTGTGAAGGTGTGTGGTGCGCCACGATGGCGTGGAGCCGCATTGCAACCCCTGGTGCGGGTTTTGATGGATGTTGCGATGGTAAAAAGACGCGTTGGGGAGCGCGCGGGGGGGGAGGTGCACACATTTACCAGAGAAATATATACTGCAAATGACTGGCCATGGCCAAAGAAGTACCGTGTCTGTTCCTGAGAGAGATTTGTTTGAGAGAGATAAACCTGCATGACAAGAGAGAGCCGAAAGAGTAGCGGATGAAGCCAATACTATGTATGAGGGAGCTTTGTGTGCAAGTGTCAACCGGAGTCAACCAGGTGTAATATTACCAGTTGAAAAGGTAGGCAAGTGAGAGGATTGATGCACGAAAGATGTCTAGTAGTAGGTAGTAGGCAAGGGTGGTAGTTTTGTTACTGATGAACAGTTGTTTCTATCGACGGAGCTTGAAATGGCGAATAGGGCTGGTGTTGATGACGCGAACGCGCCAGCGGATTACGTGCAAGGGTAGGGGGATGGCGAAATTGCTGTACCGTTGTGAAACGACGGACAGAATAGAAGGAGAAACAACGAATATGAAACAGCAAGAACGTTGAACCGAACCCGTGCTTCATAGTTCACTCTGTTCGCTTGCCGTGCCGACTGGGACAGAAAAAGCACGAATCTGCTCATTTCGTATCCCCACGTGTGTCTATTGTTTCCGTCATGCCCCATCGCAAGTCTCTTCATCCATGCTTCACCATTTTATGTGGTCAGATGGTTCCAGCTACAGCAGTATGTATCATGAGGAACGAAGAACTTGATCACTCCACATCCATTCATAAAAGCTAGGATTTCGCGAGGTGTTTGCCAACAATACATCGCGTTGTACCAGAGAAATGGAGATGATACACACAGACACATCACGGACGAGAACACTACAACCTTTTCTTGCGGTGAAAGGTTGCAGGAGGTTGTCATTGGAGGATCGTACGGGAGACGAGAAGCAACGCCGTGACTGCTCTTGCATCTGACGGCCGGACATACATATGTTTTTCTTTACGCTGCTCGGAGGTAGGTCTACGAGATGCGCGGAAGTCTTCTGTAAATAGGCTTCCCTCAGCTCTCAGTTCTACTTCTACATAAATTATTCAGAGAGAGAAAGGGATAGGGAAATAGATACAATAGAGAGAGAGAGCAGAGCAGAGCAGAGCGGCGTAGTGTCTCATTCCACGCGAATGTACTCTATGTGGTCACCGTACGTGTGGGTACTGTGGACGGAATAGCCTACACCTCCATTGACTCCATGAAGGACAAATAGACTACAAGGTGAATAAACTGCCCATCACCTACCTCAGCATATCCTTGTGTTTCCGCCATTTCCTGCGAAAAATCTCCTCTCTGTCTGCCTAGCCTACGCGCAGCGTACACACCCGCACGCACCTGTTGCTTCTTTGAGTATTGTGCAGATGGTTTCAACAGCAGGTGAGGAATGAAGAAATTGATCACTTGGTTGGGCGAAAAAAATACAAAAGTTTCAGAAATTATGAAATTATTGTTTGCCACGACAAGATGCCCCCGCTTCTCTACAAGAGAAAGAGAGATGAGCACACACACACACCATCACCATCACGGACGCATCACGGACGGACACGAAACGTACCCGTTGTGGTACAAGGCACACCAGGTTGGTTATCTGTGGAAGATCGTCCGAGGGAGAGGAGAAGCAAACGCTGTGGATTGTCCTTGGGCAACCCCTCCCACGGCGGCGAACCATTCTTGTTGAGGTAATCCCAGTCTTTCGGAGGTACATTTCTGCTGCAGGTTCTCGAATTGCGAGGCAGCTTAAGCGCGCGGCCCGCACGAAGCACATCAAAGCTTATCAAAGGATGCAGAGAGAGGGTCTAGCACGCAGAGAGCGGGTCTGAGGCAGAGAGGAGCAGCGCAGAGTGAAACGTATTTCCAAGTGAATTTAAATTGGGTGCAGTTGGTTTATGCATGTGAGCTTGAGAACTGCTCTGCACAACAAACAAAGAAGGCTCGTTCTTCACAACATCCAAGGTGTTGCTGCTGGTTTCAGGTTCGCAGTTCACACGTCGGCTATCCTCGAACGGATATGAGCGAAAGTGACAAGACTACTCCTGCTGCTCCTGGTAGCCGGGACGAGAATGAGACCCCAGCCCAGCTCCCGCTGTTCGCCTCCGGCTTGGCGGCCAAAAGAGGCCGAACATACGCGCGTCCCGCCAAACCAAGGAGTCGCAGCAGGACCATAACCAAGAAGGAGAACCGTCGATCGAGCAAGAGCTCGAGCAAAAAAAATAGCTCAAACAGCAAGCCGAACAGCAGGAGCAGCACCAGAAACAGCAGCAACATCAGCAGAAGAAGCAGCAGCGGCAGCAGCAACAGAAAGCCGAGTGATGCGTATGAGGTCCCCCGATGCGCGCTGTGAGTGTGCCTCAGTTTTTATCGGTCTTGCGGATCTGCCGTAGATTGCATCTTCGATTGGCTATGATGTTCACACAAAGAAGGGAAAGCAAGGATACTTTGCTTTGTGAACCAGCGCCTACCACTTGGTGCCGATGTCGTGTTTGTCACCGATTTTTCTCTCTTCCTATTCCAGTAGCGGATTATCTTCGGGTGTGCGGGCTAGCGGGATTTTTCCCTCCGCCCCCACCGCCGGATTCGTCGATTCGGGATGCTGCTATGTGGTTCACGACGGTAGCGAGAGAGACAGGGATATGCAGACAGACGAACTGGCGCAGTAGCGTGGGCGAAGAGAGAGAGAGAGAGAAACACAGGGAGAGAGAAAGATCAACACATTCATCGACAGTTTCACATTCAATCCAAATAATATTGCAGCCCCAGAGTACTCTCAGCAAACCAGTATAGGGGATCAAGGCAACACCAATTAGTTCGTCAACGAGTTGCATATTGATAATGGATCCTGATGACCCTGACAAAGCCACAGAATGCTGCAGCAGCAGTGAATAACCCACTCCACCTTCATTACCACATAACAAATCTACATCGCTAACTTTTCACTGCCTGCATGTCAGATTACTGCAGCTGCAGTGAATAACCCACTCCACCTTCTTACCACACAAGTCTACATCACTAACTTTCATACAGGCAGACACTGGGTGGCAGCAGTGGCAGCGGTACGGCCGGGCCCCTCAAAGGAGGCACGTTTCAGGCCCAGAACTCCGGTCGGGCCAGCAGCAAAAGCAAGGCCACGCTGAAGAAGATGAAAGGCTTCGGGGGGAAGATGTTTTACGATAAGTGAGGAGGCAGTCAAACGTTGGTTCCAGTTGTTGACAATAGACAAGAGTGCCAAGACGCACCCACCGCATTCAGAGTGGTACTGCTGCTGCCTTCTGCTGCTATCGAAACAGACTTTTTCGAAAAGGTGGTCTTTGCTATGGCACGTCCGAAGGTAGCTATAGGCTAGAATGAACGAGGCGAGCGTTGGAAGGAACGCTTCGTTGGCAAACGCTGTGAAGGAATTGACGAAGAGGAAGAGAGAACTGGGCTATTGACACTGCGGGTGCTGCTGAAGGGACTTATCGAAAGTGAATATTTCCAGGCGATTAATAAATATTCCCGCCCATAGTCGACAGGATTGACGGAAGCATCGAGTGCCTGCATGCCATGAGACGAAGTGCCGTTGCGTTCGGTGCGTCAAGACGAGCTGAACACACTACGGCCCAGATAGTTATAAAAGTAAGCTGTTCTTGTTGCGTTCACTACAGCAAATACTTACAATAACTGCTGAGTGAGTCCCTCCCTCCCTCCCCCCCTCCCTCGCTCCCTCCATCACTCCACCACTCCACCACTCCACCACTCCACCACAACCCGGCAACTCACTCACTCACTCTCGGGCACGGTGCAGGTGCTACCTCAGTAGTAGCGACGATGAGGGAGGAAGCGATGGCACGCTAGATGGGGAGACGACACTGCCGTGGGAACTTTCACCCCCCGAAGACGGCGGTGGAGTAGACAATGGCAACGATGCCGACGATTGTGCCCCGGTGAGGAACTGGAACTTGGTAGAGAATCAGCCGCCGACATCTCACACCTCATTGCTCATTGACCGACCGGGTGCTTGATTGTGCTTATGCAGGCGCGATTGACCCATCTCTGTTTCACAACGGACGTCACAAACGGTGATCACCTCGATTCTGTTGCGCGCGGGGGGCGCGGTTCTTTTGGCGATTCACTCCACCTCTCTCATTCTCTCTCTCTCTCTCTCTCTCTCTCTCTCTCTCTCTCTCTCTCTCTCTCTCTCTCTCTCT